TCCTAATGAAGGAAAGATGATATTACTTTCTCCAGATCCAAATAAGATGTGTCCAAGTAGTCTAGAGTAAAGGTCTCAGCAATCAGTGTGCAAGACCCTGTTGGTAAGAATCCGAAAAGCTTGCCTGCTAGACCTTCTGGGCAATGTGGACAAAATTTTAATGGCTTTTTACCTAATTCTGATGCTGACAGCAGGATTATAGCATGGAATGAGGGACTCAAGCATAATCATAACACAGCTATGGAAGAAGTAAGATTTTTAAATTCACTTCTGAATCAGGTATTTTAAACACACTCCGTTTTGCCTGATTTGTCTGTTCTGACGAATGGTTCCATTTTCATTATGAAGTGATAATAAGCTTAACATTGATGCTATTTTAATCCAAGTTAAAAACTTTCATCTTTGAACAGGAAACATTGGCAAGGATGGTTTAAAGTCTCGAAAAAGTGAGTGGACTCCTCAGTTACGCTAGTGACATGCTGGATAATTACACGTGTAACAGGAATTAAAAATTTTCCTCCTTTATAAAAACACATTTTTCACAATATTATACAATATCATATCATAGAATGGTTGGGTAGGAAGGGGCCTTAAAGCCCATCCAGTTGCAACCCTCCACCATGGGTTGGTTGTCAGCTACCAGCTCAGGCTTCCCAGGGCCCATCTAACCTGGTCTTGAGCACCTCCAGGGCTGGAGCACCCACAGCTCTCTAGGCAGCCTCTGCTAGTGCCTCAGTACCTTCTGAGTAAAGAATTTTCTCTTAACATCCATTCTAAATCTCCCCTCTTTCAATGCAATTCATTAAATAATTTCCTATTTGATATGAGCGAACCAAAAGACGCATGTAAAAGACACCAGGTTCTCTACTGGACTTACAATATATAAAACATGACTATATTTCACTGTGCTGTTGCCCAACAAGGTACTTCTTACATGAGAATCTGTCAATATAAGTTTCACCTTTGTTGGGAGCTGAAGATTGGAAAAGGTTGAATATTTCCTTTAGATTAATGTAAGAATCCAGGCTAACATAAGAGAGTACATTAGGTGGCTCAAATGATTTATATTAAAGTTGTTAAGAAAAACGGCACCAGGGAATAGTACAGTGATGTTTTTGGTGTAATATTCCAGTGTTATATAAAAAAATTTCAAACCATTGACAGCATAAAATATGGTAGGTACATAGACAGCTCGCAAGGCAACCAGAACTAAAAGATGCATTTTTATAAATAATCACCTTTGTTTTTCCAAAACACATAAATCATATTCAGTTTGTTATGAAGGTGATAACATTTCCAAGCATGCTGGCAGCAAACCTCTGGAGACCTAATTATTCCAGGATACCCCAGAAAGAGTTATTATTTATTTGAACTGCTAAAACTGCTAGCTGCAATATGATGACTTCTCTGTCAGTGTTATTCCACTTCAGAAAAGAGTTTCTGTTTTCTATAGCAACCATAGGCAGGTTTTTATTTTCCCCAGTCCCAAGTTCTATTATTTAATATGCCCTAGGCTGAAGACCAAATGGGGAAATTATTGTGGTCTAATTCACCATAAGTATTGTGATTTCACTGTCCTTAGTGTGATTACTTTGCTTTGAATCATTTAGAGCCTACAATTCTGGATGAAGATCAGATATGGAGATCTTAGAATATCAGACCCTAGCCTGTATCTTCAAAACAAAGTTCGATAAAAGGAATGGGGGCCTCAATTCTCACTTTTCCCCTCAATGGCTATTGAAGACAAGTTTTGTCATAGTTGGATTGTTTTATATTCCAACATGACTTCAGTGGTAAGCAGAGGACTGCTTGGCCAGCAGTTATTCCTAAGCTAAATAAAGTAAGAATCTAGATAATTATTGTTTCTAAATAACTCAGAAACTTAAGCCTAATTTGGCTTATAGAACCTTAGTCTGAATTTTCCTCTTTTGAGACATCTTTTAATTATCCTTTGCATTTCCACAATTCTGCCCAAGACAAGCCAGCCTCCATCACCATGCCACCTTTGAAATTGTTTGTACATGTCACTAGAAATGTGTTGCTCTCAAGAGGTGAACAGATTGGAATTGATTTCTAGAACTCATACGTTAAAGATCAGTGACCAGCTGCTGATGCGAAACAAAAACTAGAATAATGAAACCTCTGTTCCTCAATCAAGAGCTATCCTGTACCTCTGTTCCATCAAATTCATGTTATCTCTGTAAACCTTATAGATCCAAGCATTTTAAACCAATTTGCTGTACATTTCTTCCCAGGTTTTTTGTTTGTTTGTTTGTTTGTTTTTTGGTGGTGGTGAGTTTACCACTAGACCTTGAGTTTTTAGTGAATTGATTCTTGTCCCCAAGAAATGTACACTCATGTACATGCCAGGAATGAAGAATAAGTAGTTCTGAACAAAATAGCCACACACAACATCACACATCATAGGCTCCATATCAACTATGATGAGATATTTCATGTTATTTGTTACCTGAAAGGCAGATGGACACCTGACAGAATACTAAAAAGGGCCACAACATGTAATTCTTTTGCAAAAAATAATTTGTCCTGATAAATTCCCCTGGCTCTCTAAATCTTCTACTTGCAGCTGCTATTCCAAATGCTTTGCTCCCCAGGTTTTCCTTTTCTCCTGGAATAATTAACTTTCTGCCATAATTATCATGAAGAACCCGATGTAAGAGATCTCAGTCTCTCAGTTAAACCAGAACTAAACACAATTCACAGCAAATATTTGTTTGTCCTATAGAGGAACACTGGCTTCTAGTGGCTTCATCCAGCACAAATCAGCAGGAATGAGATGAACCCTATTCGTAGAGAAAGATAATTGTCTATGGACACAGACCAAAGTGTTTCCCTGAAGACAGCACTTTGAAAAGTGACTACTTTGAAGGCCGTTCAGTAGGAACAAGGAGACGCTGACTACAATGATGTCAGCCCACAGCTCATAAAGTGCTTGAAGCAGTTACCTGCTGTTACTTCTGCTAACTATAAGTGAGCCTTCCTTTAAGTATTAATACTTTAGAAGATGTCCAGATGCCAAGAAAAGTAAAATGCAAGCATATCATCCAAAAATTCTTAAGTAACTTTCATGAAGTGTTCATACAAACTGAATACAAAATTTTGTCTTTCAGTCTGCTAAAAATTTTGGCCAAGTCAGAGCCAAATTGTTTGTATTTAAAATATCCAGATGTCTTCCCGGGCTGTTAATGATGAGAGCAGTTTTCATAATCAGAGAATATAATAAACATAACATCCATTGAGAAGTTGTGTTTAAATCATTATTTTGCATACGATCAAGTTTCTATTAGAAATTGTTGTCATGACAGAAATAAAATAATAAAAATAGTGAAAATTTAGGTTTCAGCAACTTGAAATTAATTGGATACAATTGCTGGTGATAGGAATCACAATATGAGATTTCCTATCTTCTTATTGAATGTGATAGAAAAAAATTGGTCGCATTGTGATAGAAACTACACAAATATAATAAGTGTGTAAATCATATAAGCTAATTTTAGACAGCTATAGGCAGGATATAGAGAGTTAAGATCTCTTGACAGTAAATGGAGAGCTAGTATTCCTTTTAAGGAGATGTGCCCAATTCAGGATGACACAGAAAGGTACATTTTTCTTCATTTACTCTGGGAGGTGTCTAGACAGCCACATCACAGGCTTCTCACTCTGCTTCAAAAGAGTAGAGGAAAAACGTGATGTAAGGCACTGAGATGAAAATATAGTTGGAACTGAGGTATGTGGGGACAACATATTTATTCAAAAACACCCATTCAGCATTAGAAGGGGTCAAGCACTCCTCTCCTCAGTTCTGTGACTATGAGCCAAAATTGGAGGCTGACAAAAGGCTGGAAATGCAAAGCAGATTTATAGATAAAGAGTTGAGGAAAAAGGCTCCATTTAAAAGACTAAACATACTGAAAGCTTTCGAAAATACAGTGGTGGAAGTATTTGTACTGCGTATTTATTTATTCTTGGTCACATCCTTTCTTCATAAACAGAAATCTTGTTGAGGTATCTAGAGGCAGAAGCTTTTCATAATTCCTGCACGGTAACCTTACTAAAGTTTACTGCATTTTTGGAATACAGCTTTTACAGATACTATCACAATTTCTTGGGTCCCTTATTAAAATTAAACTACATAAATGGAAAGTCCCAAGGTTATGACAATGTTTCACAAACTATAACAATATGCAGGTGTTATATTGTCAAATAGGGTCTTTGAGATAGTTCCCTTTCATAGAACCTCAGTCTTAGTATGTCAGCTCTGCAAATTTTTATGTAGTGAAGTTGTATGAGAAACCTCAAATTGATGTATGGGAGTCATGACCTGGATATATGTTTTATTCGCTCTAAACATACCAGTGCCTTTTTGATTTTAATTTCTTACAGTCACCCACGAAATCCGCACCAAGGCAAAGAACTGAACAAAAGAGAAGCTCATTCAGCAGCTTCAGTACTCTTCTCCTCCCTGGTTATGTTGACTTTTCTGAAAAGGTCATTGAGATTGAGAGGTTATAACACTTAGACTACTATGAGTGCTACCATGGATTGGCTTTCTGGAATTTTACACAATGAAGCTCTTGTCTCAGATCAGATTTCTAAGGGACAGTAGTTATATAAATATTTAGAGACAACATTCAATGCAAGAATTATGGAAAAAAATTTCATATCCTTGCATCTTACCAAAAGTCATCTTCTTCCCTAGGCTATTACAGAGTATGTTGTTGTCCAGTTGTACATCTGCTGCTGGTCTATAATCTTAAGAGAAGTTGCATTTCATATCATTGCATATAATTTCTTTTGGAATAAAACACCTAAGGAAAATACAAATTACCACAGAAGGCTTTATGAATTTGCAAATTTACCATTAATTAAATCCACCAAAATAGAAGCAATGCAAGTTAGACATTTCAACTCTGTGAGCTATTTTGGGAACCAATTTCTCTGCACAAAGACAAACATTTAAAAAGAAATTGAAACATTACCTTGGCTGATGTTTCAAACCAGCCCACGAACCCATTTTCCTTGCAGAACTGATCCATCTTGATGCCGTTGTTCATAAGAACGTCTATTCCCTGGTCACATTTGTTTGCTAAGAGGACTGTTGGCACAGGTTTGCCGTTTGGAAGAACAAGCTTAGAGTCCAAGTCTTCTTTCCATTTTGTCACAGCTTCGAATGTCGCAGGTCTTGTAACATCAAAGACAATAAATGCTCCCATGGCCTCTCTGTAATAGACCCTGGTCATGTTTCCAAATCTTTCCTGACCTGTGGTTATGAATGTGGGAAGAAAAAAACAAAAACAACTTGTAAATATCATTGCTTCCAACCTAAGTATTTCACATAGCACATTTTCTAGTGCAACACTATTGAAGTTAGAGCTTGATTTCGTAAGTCTGACACCTCTGGAAAGCTATTACTTGTCTAAATAAGTGCAACTACAGTGCTAGACTCATTTGTATGAGAATGAAAGTATAGCAAGAAAAAGGAGTTAGAGAAGTTTTAAAGCAAGCATGCAAGGAAATGTAATAATCGCATGACAAGCTTGAACTTCAGTCTTATTAAGTGGCCAGATTTCTGTGGAAAGTACATGGTTCTTGATACACTTCATAGGATTTTAAACAAGAGTCACAGAAGATCTAGGTACGAGATTTGAAGCTCCTTGACACTACATTATTATTTGGGAAATATCTAACGCAGTTGATCTCCTCATGCATGAAAGTCCTGCATATTTTCAACCATATCTTAACTAAGCTCTTGAGCTACACTAGACATTAGATTCATTATGAACTTAATTACTGGTGATGCAAAGCATAAAGGTGAGAAAGGTGGATTGAAAACCTTACAGAAGTGGAAAGCATTATCAGAACCAGCACAGCAATAGAAATACAAAGAACTACATTGCTCCAGTAAGAGGTGGCAGAAGAGGTTTCACGCTAGATTTGTTTAGAAGTTTTATGGCTTTATTTGCTGAATTCAAAGGATTTTATGGAAATATATTTAGAGACAAGGATTTTTTGTTGTATTTGTTGGGGGTTTTTTTTGTGAGAAAAAAGGTAACATTAGGTTTCAGTGTAGAAATGTCTCAAATTTAATGTGATTAACAGTGAAAAAAAGTCAATGATGTTAAGATGCAATATATTGGTGATAAGGGTTTTGTTAATATGTATGCTATTTTCACAGGAAAATTGAAAAAAAAAAAAAAACAACATTCCAAAAATACACAGCATTTTCCTTGAAGCGAAAAGAATAGAATTTCCATTGATCTTTATTGCCAAGCTGTGACCCAAAAATGAACAACTGTAAATACCCCAAACATCTAACAATTACTGCAATCCTTAAGCAAGACAGGCATTGTATTTAATCATAAGCTTCCACAGCTGGGAAAAAAAGCTGTGAAAATAGACAGTGCTCCATGGAAACCTGTTTCTAGTCTTATTTTCTGGATGCGTGTAGTTATGAGTAGGTTACGAAGACAAGAAGATTGCCAGTTTGTCTCAGCTCTGGGAGATTAGCTTTGGAGGCTTTATGTGATTAAATGCGCTGTCAAATGTAAAGCTGGAATGAGACCTGGGCTTCTAGAACATGTATTTAATGGAAATGGCACTGACCAGGAAGATTTAGGGCCTGCCCTTGGAATTTACTGAATGCACATCATGGAGACAATACCACCTATTTGTATTCATCTTTGGTTTTATGCAATAGTTGTTCCAGCAATGGCAAGGTCTTTTGAAGGACACAGAAGCCAATTTGTATCTGACTTCCCCAAATTAATCTTTTTTTTTTTTTTTTCCTTAAACAAACACTGCTCTCCATTGATAAAGCAAGATATAAATATAAAAAAATCTAGAAAATATAAGGTCATATTGAAAATTTCATATGGTTATCTTTATTAAAATGTCTTATGATTCCTATCAGAAGGGAAAATCAGATTCATGGCTAAGTCATGTGCTATTCCTCAATTTCCTTGTTGAGAAAACGTTTTTCATCTACTAGAAGGTATATGCAAAAAAGACAGAAATCTGATTAACATCTCAGTGAGGTCAAAAACAACAAATACAGTTTGCTTTTGATGCATTACAGTAATACTTGTTACTTTTCATGTAAATTTCTTACATTGCAGATGTGATGTAGATACAAGAATAACTGAACTCGGACCTTACATATTGTGTAAGTTGTTGTGACACAATTCTCTAAGGTAGGTGGGATGTTTTGTTATAGAACATGCACTGAATCATTAATTTACAGCATATAAATCATGCATCGCAAGGAGGAAGGAAAGGCTCCGAAGATGTGTTCTTCTGGCTAATAGTGGCTCATAAAACACTGACAAATTCTATGACACCAATTTCTTCTACTTTCAACTGCCTTTGTGGATACGCAGGTTTTTCACTCCACAGAAAAGCCCCTGTACCTGTGAAAGTTGCTTTCTGCAGGCAAAGAGAACTCACCAACCTCAATTAGAAATCACTTCAATGAAAGAAAAGAAGCGGATGGCTGAATAAAGTGTCTAACCCCTTTTTAAAATGATCTTCTTCCCTATCAGCTGCAATTAATATATGAATGTATTTGGCACGAAGACATTATGAAACTTTGAAAGTAAATGGTTTGTAACCACATACTTTTAGTATTATATCATTTGCATAATAAGTTTACTTTTATTTAAGCTGAAATGCAAAGCTGGAAAGGGAACTCTGTCGGTGCTGTGCTTGCAGTGCAAAATATTGTTTTAGCATCCAGGAAGACTTTTTTTCCAAAGGTCCCACTTTATGTGAGCAAACAGTTATCTTAATAGATGAGGTTCCTAAAACCATTTCCTTTTGCAGAATTACTCACAAAAATAGGCACTGTTTGATGTATTAAAGGTGTCAGAATGTGGCCTCAGGTTTTCAGCAGCACAATGGCATAGGCAGTAATTACGTTAGAAAATAGATCAACCATTAGGTATTCACTGGAATCTCACAGGCAGTCTTAAACATTAGAACATGCTTTATAGCAAGAATCTGGGACAGGTGGGTTTTGCTTTTAATGGGAAGAACCAGAAACCTGTTAAACTTTTTGTGTGGATCACTGGACTTTGCTGCACCTCTTGCAAGACCACTGTGCGGCATCTGGCATCAAACCCCGCAAGTCTGATGATTTTGGTGCAGTGAGATGGTGGTCTCCATTGAGATTCACCAGCCCCAACTTCATTCACGAACATTCACTGACTGTATCAAAGACTAGGTCTATTTTTAGTCAGAGACTGAGAAAAGATACCCAGAGGGCATCTTCTCGGCCCGGATAGTCACTTACGAGGTCACATAAGCTTCCCCGTGGAGGCAAAGCAGCACAACCTAGGAACTGACAAACTTGAAACCAGGAAAATATCAACAACACAAATCTGGTGATCCTTATGGGTCCGTTCCAATACGGGACATTTTATGATTTTATAAGTCGATTTATTTGACACCCTGGTGAGCTGAAAAATAGTAGCTAACACTCAGCTGATTCAGTAAAAGATCCCTAATTGTTAAACCAGACAAATTTTGATCCACTTTGAAGTGATCCCAAACAGATGAAGGTGCTAAAGCAACAAGATTTCCATTCAAAAGAAGGATTTGCTTTCTAAATTGTACTTGTCCATACTGATATCAGAGGCACCTCTGCAGCAAGGTAACATTTAATTTAATAAGCTTAAAGCTATCAACACCTGAACTTTTATAGCTTATATAAATGCACTCTACAGAAGAATAAGTTGCAGAACTCTGCAATCTCCACAAGCCACTATCATCTTTGATAAAGTTATAAAAACTAATGAGAAAGTGCTAGTATCTAAAAAATAGCTTAGATAAAAATTGATTAAAACCGTCTAATGCCCAGTTTTACAATGAGTTTCACTTCTTGCCACTATCCCTCATCCTACATGGGGAAAGCTGGGATCCAGTGATCTTTACCCAAAACTGAGAAGCTAGAAACTGTGCAAAAGATTTAAACGCTTTTTATCTTCCACTTCAAAGCACCTTTCAGAATTTTCACCCCTGAAGTCAAGCCATTGTCTTTGTAGAAGCAGGACTGAAACTCAGCCAAAAGGCACCCTGCATGTGGCATGCCAAAATGTAGAAAAGCAACCTATGGGCTGGATCAGGCCCTCAGATCCCATCAAATCACAGCTGAAATAAAACCATCAGAGTGAAGGACATATTTATGATTGCAGAACAGTAATTTCAAGGTAACTTAGCCTGGAAATCACCATGACTATCTTATTTATGCATATGTACTGCAATCTTCAGCAGGCACTGAAAGCTTAAACCACTGAGGATACACTGTGCTTCGCATTAGTGAATGGTCTTGTTACTTCTTCTGGAGTATAACAGTCCCAGCAAATTTACAACTACTAAGCCATGTGACTATATCTATGCAAATACTGTTGCTTCTGAAGGTGGAAATTGCAGGGAAAGCAATTAAACTCGTCTTTTGTCATTGGTATTGCCTGATGTCTCTAATGCAGTGGACCAAGTTTATGAGTCGAGATCCAGCTTTGTAAAAGCAAATCAACATGTATTTGTTAACTGTGAATAATGCAGCCCACACATGCATAGCAGGAGGGATAACGGCAGTGTTGAAATGGTTGTGAAAAAGAAAGTGGTGAGGGGAAGACTGTGAGTGCTGCTTTCTGCCCCATGCCTCTCCCAGAGAGCTGCTGCCTGCAATAAGTCTACAGCTAAATGGGCATAACACATGGACAACAGCACAGAGGGGAGCCTTACAGAGAACTGAATAGCAAAGACGTCTGGATGTGTTGTCTGCAATGTGTTTCTTCTGCAGAGCTACCCCAGAGAGAAGGGAGAAGCTACCCCCAGAGAGGAGGGAAGTGATCCTGTCTTTTAAGAGCCTTGTTCAAAATGTGACTGTTTCCTTTAAAGCTTCCCTTCTAAAAATCTCTCCTGACAAATTTAAAGGATGCTCATACAGAGGTAACAGTTTAAGAACAAACAAACAAATAAAAAAAACAACAGAACAAAACAAAAGCCAGAGGAACAAGATTTCAAGATATTTCAGACAGCAGTAGAGGTGATGGCATATTTCAAGAAGTACATGAATACCACAGCAGGTTTTTTGGGACATTCAGTGAAATAAAATTGAGATGAAATTAAAGACAAGGAGAATGTTACCATGTGTAGCTATTCTTATATCTGTGATCAGAGGTAAAATTGGTAAAATTTGGTGGCTAGAGAGCATCACTCCAAGCATGAAGTCATCAGGTATATTCTTACTAATAATACACATAAGCTTCACATTAATTTTACTCAAAATATTTTTGATGAAATTATTTCTAAATTTTTAAACAATTTACTGCCCACTGATGCAAACAACGAAGTGTAAGTAAGAATCATGCTTGGTGGCAATGTTGACTATACAAAGGGAGAGATAAGAATGTGAGAGATGCAGAAATATCTGATATATATATAGATATGCACACATATATATTCATATAGAAGTACAGACACAAAACAATATTGACATGTTTGCACCATTATCTTCAATGTAAAAATGCCCTAAATGCTAAGCCAACATCCTTAAGCTTGGTTAAAGAGAGAAAACGCATTTGTATCCAAAATCTTTATCAAGCAGAATCAAGTGTACCCTCAGCAAATTTGTTGATGTCACCAAGTGAGTGGTGCAGTTGACAGAACAGAAGGAAGTGGCTGATTTAGTGGTTGGCAATCCTGCCCATATCAGGGAGAATAAAATTAGATAATCTTTAAGATCCCTTCCAACCCAAGCTATTCCATGATTCTATGATTTGTTTCAAGTTATGGATACCAAATTGTACCTAACAGGTATTTGATGGAAGGTTGTACATTCAGAGAACAATTACTTGATCTTCTAAAGTGGTGGTAGGTACTAAAAAAATGCTGCCATTGATTTGCCACCCTTGAAAGGGTTGCTCAGCAGCCACTTCACACTCAAATAGGAAGCTACTCTTTGGTCTACAATTCTGTGAAGGAATGACATCCAGATGGAGCTGGCCAGGCTTAAAAAAAATGGGTCCATGAGATCCTAATTAGGTTTAACAAGGTCAATTGCAAGGTGTTGCACCTGGGTTGGAGCAATCCCAGATGTGAGTACAGACTGGGAGAACTCCTTGACAGAGCAGGACTTAAGGTTCAGGTGCATGAAAAGCTGAGCGTGAGCCAGCAGTGTGCTCTTGCAACCCAGAAGGCCAATAGCATCCTGGGCTGCATCAACAAAGGAGTAGCAGCAGGGAGAGGGAGGTGGTTGTTTCCCTTTATTCTGCTCTCATGAGGCCCCATCTGGAGTACTGCATCCAGGCCTGGGGCCCCCAGTACAGGAAGGAGCTGCTGGAGTGGATCCAGAGGAGGGCCACAGGGATGATCAGATGAGTGGAGCACCTCTCTTGTGAAGAAAGGTTGAGGGAACTGGGCTTGTTCAAATCTGGAGAAGGCTCCGGGGAGACCTCATTGCAACCTTCCAATTCTTGAAGGGAGCTTATAAGCAGGAAAGGGAATGACTTTTTACGTGGTTTAATAGTGATAGGACAAATGGGAATGGCTTTAAACTAAAAGAGGGGAAATTTAGGTTAGCTGTTAGGAAAAAATTATTTACTGTGGGGATGGGAGGCACTGGCACAGGCCGCCCAGAAAAGCTGTGGATGCCCCATCCCTGGAGGTGCTCAAAGCCAGGTCGGATGGGCCCTGAGCAGCCTGAGATGGAGGTGGCAACAAACCCATGGCAGGACGTTGGAACTGAGTGGGCTTTATGTTTCCTTCCTACCCATTTTGTGATTCTATGATAATTTTTATCCTCAAAGCTGAACATGACATAGTAATAAGGATTCTAGCAAAAGACAGAGGTTGCTCCTACCCTATATATCTGTGCTTTGCAAGTGATGACAAATGACAGCCACAAAAGGACAAAGTACTTCCACTCCCACCATATACCCGATCAGTTTCACTTCACTATCATTTTTAAATGCTTTTTTTTCCTCATCAGTCAGATCCATTATTATAACTCCACGCTGCTCTGAATGGAGAGTGTTACCTGCAGAACTTATTTTCTATGTACAGCCATCAACAGCTACAGCTCCTTACACAAAAGTCATTAAAACTGAGACAGCACTGTTTATTACCGGCCACTGTCTTGACCTTCACAGAGATGCTCTGAATTGAGCAATTCATATGAAATTTAGTACTGTGCTGTAATTCTCTCTGTCATGTGTGATAACTCAGAAAGCATGCTAGTCATTCAGTATACTACAACTCGGTGTAATTGCTTCTGCAGCCTGACTGAAAGCTACATCATATGATCCGCCAGCACATGATTAGTAGTGTAATAAATCTCTGAAACAAAGCATGCAAAATACATTCTTTAAGTCCCTCATGCATTCAGAATTTACTATTAGAAGTGTTTTTTTTTCCTCCCACACAAAAAAATGTTGATGGATGTATACATATTCATCATTACAATCACTGATGAGCAATAAAAGCAATGCTTTCCCCATTATTCTGATTCGTGATATGGAATACTGGACATGGGCTTATTTAGAACCATAGAGCCCCAAAACTCTATGGTTATGTAAAAAGGGTGAGGGTATGCACAAAGCAGCATTGTTGCATAAGTTTTAGTACCTCGGTGCCAAATTCAGTGCTCAGATACGAGTCAGCTAGCTGTGGAAGAAAGGCACACCCTCCATGAATATGAATGTTAAGAATTTTCCTATTTCAGTAGTTTTACTCAGCACAACATCATACTAGAACCCTGAACCCACAGGCTGGCACAGCTGCCTAAAACTGCACCTTCATTCCTTACTTAATGAACACAGTGTCTTAATTTAGAGTTTTAAAGATGCCCTCCTTTCAGCTGCAAGCCGTCGTGTTTTTGCTGAACTTGGATTCTCATGTATGCTACGTGAGGAAGGATTACTTACTGCATGCAAAATATGTCATACACAGCTTTTATTTTGCCCACTGACTCAAAAATCCTTCAACTCTAGGAAAGGAGTTGGCAAAAAGTAAAAGCTGTAGTTTTAATTGGAAGACAAATATAAAAAAAAACACTGACTATAACAATGCCAATTCCTATTTTTAATAATGTAAATATGCAATTATAGAGATGGACTTCTTTATTCTTTTTCTCCCCAGCCATCTCCCTCTCCCCCAAGATTAAATTATCTTTTTTGTTGTTGTTGTTGTTTTCTTGATGTTAGATTCTTTATTCTAGGCTAAAGTAAAATTAAAATAAAGTAGTGTATTCTTGGAGGATAAGTAAATCTGACCAAATGCATTTTAACGACCAGAAGTCTGGCCAAATATAAACAATTTTCAAATGGCTGCGGAAGTTTTTACATTTTATTGAGCGCAAGAAATGTGGAAGAGAGAGGAAAGGAAGGAAAAAAAACGTATTGTGATCAAAGTGACACCAGGATTTTTTTTGTTTTGTTATTTTATAACTATAAAAATCACATTAGCCATCTTACTGAATCCCTCATCTCTTCCACTAACTTAACTAGATGAGCAAAAAATTCCTGTCAACCTCTCTCCCATCCCAGAGATCTGTGAGTCTAATGATGTGGCAGTTGCAGGGAAGAGTCAGAGCACCTGGAGAGAGGAGTCCATGTCTCCATACAGGTCTGAGGGCTTGAGAAACAAATCAGGCAGGACAAGCTTTGCTCTGACATCCCTTGTTTATGCATCTGCTGGCTTTGTGGCAACTCCAAAATCTCAAACTACCTTAAAGTTCTCTCTCACCACAAAGGCAATTTAAAGACTGGTACAAACAAATACGGATCTATATTTTGTCTATAGTCTCTAGATGTTTTAGGAACAGGGTTTCCTTCTGTACTTACCCGCAATATCCCAGAGCTGCAGCCGTACCACAGTCTCAGCATCCCAACTGAGGACCTTCAAGGCAAAGTCCACCCCTATGGTGGCCCGGTAGTGGGGGGAGAAGTTCTGGTGGACATAGCGCTTGATGATGCTAGTTTTGCCCACTCCCAGGTCCCCTATCACCAGCAGCTTGTAGAGGTGCTCCTTCTGGTTGTGCTTCTGCATCTTTCCTGTTGCAGTGGCTGCTCCCTGCGAACTGATTGCATGCTCTGCCCCAGGAATCCTGCCAGCCTGAGGGGAGAGAGGGAGTGAGTAGCTGGGGAGGGAAGAGGGGAAGGGAGGGAGGTGGAGGCTGCTTAGCGTTGTCCGGAAGCAGGATCACCAGATCCTGCAGGCAGCCCTGCCGGGAGATGGAGGAAGCAAAGGGCTGGGGGGAGAAAAGTCACTCAGAAAGTTTAGGAGGTACGCGTGTACAGGTCAGCATGAGGTGTGTCTGAGATTAGTCTGCCTGCTGAAAACTTCACAGGAAAATCACTGTCGCAGTCCTGGTCCCTGTTTCACTCCTTACCAGGAGTTTCTACTGTGTTCTAGTTTTGCTTGCTCTCCCTTTTTTAATCACTGTCTTCTTAGTGATAATTAACCACACATCTCCTAATTTCTAAACAGGTTTAAAATGCCAGTCACTACAACAGGGCAGAAATCTCCTTGCAGGATGTCATGCTGCCATTACAGTGCAAAACTTAAACCTGTGTGGCTTTAACTTCAGATGTGATTTGTTTTTAATCAACATATTAATGCACTTGTATCACTAGAAATGGCAGTTGTAACAATATAAAGCATTTTTACATTTTTACATTATTTAAATAGCATTTAGCATTTTTACAGCCCTCCACACCAGGAGGGCTGCATGAACTCAATTATAACAGATAAATATTTTTAAATTGCATTAACATAATAATTTATGATCATTTGTCTGTACATATCAGCATGCTCATGTTGCTGAATGCAGAACAAAGCTCATGCTTTGTTTTTTTTCATGCTACAGGAATCTAAAACTCAAAAAGTCTGGAAGATTTATCTCATGACTGATAATCAGAAGTTATAAAAGCATAACAGCATTAGTGCATATGAATGCCAGTATCTCAATGGTTCTCTGTTTTCCAAATTCAGTTATATCAAGCTTGTAAGCAATTAAAAAAAAAGAGTAAATCATTCCATTGACACAATTGACCCTATCTTTTAAATGAAAATTGCAGTCATGGTTTCAATTAGGCAGCTTTGTTGGCAACCTTTATCTGTTGTTGCCTAAAGGAATTTGATCTTTCAACAGTTTTGATAGCAAGCCCCCAAATTTCAGTATTGCGTGAAACTCATCCATGATTGATTTTTGCATTATTGATGACACTGAGAAAATGAAAACATATTCTGTGCTTACTGAAATACTACTTAATGGATTTCTCATCCAAATATGTACTGAAATGGCATTAGGAATTTGTCACCTATCCAAAAAGCTGGATTTTATTAAGAGTTCAGAGTACTATTAGGAAAAGTTATGTTATGTAATGTTTTATAATCAGTCATTAAACTCAAACTTAACATTTTGTATATACACATACATATGAAAAAGTGTAATCTGAGGAGTTCTTTTTTCCTTGAAACTTTTGTTTTTATTGAAAGACTTTTTTTCAATAAGACAAAATCTCATTCAAAACAAGCAAACAAAAACCCCTGTTATTTCTATACTTCTGTTTGGAAAGAAAGTTACAAAGGGGTTATCCTCCTTAGCTACAGACATCATTAAAGGCTGCAATTTGAGACACGAATCAGTTACTGCAACGAGCTACCGCCTCTGTGTGATTCATACTATTATTATTGCTACCTGCTATAGTATAGCAGGATGCATCTCTAACTTCCTGCACTGCCATTTTGAGGGAGTATCTGATGGCCAAGCATTTCCAAGGGCTTATAATACTTCCCTAAAGCTGCAAAGTCCTATCTTGCAGGTTAAGAAAGAACAGGGTCAGAGAGGTTAGCTATATAGGAAATGAAGAAATTGGGGTTTTGGATGAGGCTGAAATTACAGTCATATATTTTATCCTTCTTTGATATGGCAATACACAGAGTCCAGTGCATGAAACCCAGCTGCAAGCAGATATTAACTAGGTAATCGGCCCTAAGGTCTTATGCTATTAGAAAGTTCAGTTAGAGATTGGCCTACACCCTGGAGCATGAGGCTTTACCTCCTTTCCAAAGTTTTTGTTAGCATTAGCTATAATAACTCTAAATAATCACATTATTTAAGTTTCCAATTCTTCTTTGAACATGCCAAGATTCTTGGCCCTAGCAATACCCTGGTACAATGAGCTCCTCATAGGCTGAATCAAGGTCACCATCAAGGATGGCAGTAGGGCCACAAGTGAGGTGTTCAGTGATATGTTGAGATGTGGACTGAGCACGTTGGAAGCTCCACTGCCTTTAGAGAAATGATTTTTGCTGAGTTAATTAGAAGCACATATTGAGTATCCAGATCTATTCCAGTATCCAGGGACATTAAAGCCTACCTAGTTCCAACCTCCTGCCATGACCTGTTTGCCATCTACCAGCTCAGGCTGACAGGGGCCTTATCACCAACCAAGATGAGGTTTACAATGTGCTCTGTGCTGTTAGTTCACAGAATCACAGAATGGCCAGGATTGGAAGAGACCTCAAGGATCATGAATCTCCAACCCCCCTGCCACATGCAGGGCCACCAACCTCCACATTTAATACTAGACCAGGCTGCCCAGGGCCCCATCCAACCTGGCCTTGAACACCTCCAAGGATGGGGCATCCACAACCTCTCTGGGCAGCTGTTCCAGCACCTCACCACTCTGAAAAGAATTTCCCCCTGATATCCAACCTAAATTTCCCCCCGTCAACTTCAAACCATTTCCCCTTGTCCTACTGTTATCAAGCCTTTCAAAGAGTTGATTCCCTTCCCCTCTGTAGGCTCCCTTTAGGTAGTGAAATGCTGCAATGAGGTCATCCTGCAGCTGCCTTTTTTCCAGGCTGATCAAGCCCAGCTCCCTCAACCTGTCTTCATAGGGGAGGTGCCCCCAGGTCCTCCTCAGCAGGGCTGCTCTCAAGGACCGCTCCTCCCAGTCTGTATGGATGCCTAGGATTCCTCTGGCCCAAGTGCAAAACTCTGCACTTTGCCACATTGAACCTCATCAGGTTCACCTGGGCCCACCTTTCTAGCCTGTTGAAGTCCCTGTGAATGGCATCCCTTCCTTCTACCATGTTCTACCCAACCTGGTGACAAGCATCTCCAGGGATGGGGCATCCACAACTTCTCTGGACAGCCTGTGCCAGTGCCAGTTTGTCTTTTACAGAAGCCTGCTGAAATGGGTTTTTGCAGGACTGTTCCCACCTCCTGAATGCTATGTCCATACTGTTTTGGCTTAGTTGGCAAATAAAGGCAGCAGGACAGAGAGTTATGGAACTACTGCTTGTTTACACAGCTCTGCTGAAGATATGACAAGCAAGTCAGACAATTCTGGCTGGCTGTGTCTTAAATGATCACTGCAAGACTAGTTTGACAACAATGTCTGATCCCTTCAGGCACACAAGCAGGTTACTACAACTCAATGGTTTGCTGTCCCGGGGAAGTGTGCTCAGCCTGGAACATGTATCATGCACTCTGTCTTCACGGAATCACAGAATGGCCTGGGTTGGAAGGGACCTCAAGGATCATGAATCTCCAACCCCCGTGCCACACGCAGGGCCACCAACCTCTATATTTAATTCTAGACCAGGCTGCCCAGGGCCCCATCCAATCTGGCCTTGAACACCTTCAGGGATGGACAAGGCATCCACAACAAGCAGAGTAGAGAGGGACATTCACCTCCTTGTCCCTTCTGGCCACCCCTCTTCTGATGGAACCCAGGATACCATTTGCTTTTCAAGTTGCAGAAGGACACTGCTAGCTCATGTAAAGTTTTTCATCCATCAGGACCCCCAGGTCCTTCTCCACAGGGCTGCTGTCAAGGACTGCTCCTCCCAGTCTGTATGGATGCCTGGGATTCCTCCGGCCCAAGTGCAAAACTCTGCACTTTGCTGTGTTGAACTTCATTAGTTTCACCCAGGCCCACCTTTCAAGCCTCTCAAGGTCCCTCTGAATGGCATCCCTTCCTTCCACCGTGTCAACCGAACCACTCAGCTTGGTGTCATCAGCAAACTTGCTGAGGGTGCACTCAATTCCATCATTGATGTCATTGATAAAGATGTTAAAGAGCACCAGTCCCAAGACAGACCCCTAGGGGACGCCGCTCGTTACTGGCCTCCACTTGGACACAGAGTCATTGATGATCACCCTCTGTCTGCGGCCTTTCAACCATTTTCTTATCCATTGAGTGGTCCACCCATCAAATCCACATCCCTCCAATTTGGAGATAAGGATGTGGTGGGGGACCGTGTCAAAGGCCTTGCTCAAGTCCAGGTAAACGACATCAGTCGCCTTTCCCTTGTCCACCAACGCCATCACTCCATCATAGAAGGCCACCAGACTGGTCAAGCACGACCTTCCCCTGGTGAAGCCGTGGTGGCTGTCTCGGATCACATGCTCATTCCATATGTGATCAAGCATGTCATCCAGGAGGAGACATGGTCTTCACTGAGGCCATATTGAGGGCAGTTGATATAAACCATATTAGTTTGCATTGGCCGCCCACAGGTAGGTAGTTACCGTAGCTCAACTAACACAGAGTAACTTGTCAAGCTGGGAGAACCAGATGGTGACCCTGGGCCTTACTTTGTGTTGTTCAGCGACCCTCAGGCAATAAGAACAGGTTTAAACATGGATTTAGTTTATGTTTTAGTGATTATATCTTGGTTATCTGTGTTTCCTCTAGTAAACAAATACATTTTAAGCTTTAAAAAATAAATAAAAATAATAATTTGAAAATACACTACATGACAATACGATTCCAAATATGCTGTTTTATTTTGCCCACAGTTGTGGTGACGTCCCATCTCTGGAGACACTCAAGGTCAGGCTGGTTCGGGCTCTGAGCACTGGAATGAGCTGTAGGTGTCCCTGTTCATTGCAGGGGGATAGGACTAGATTTCCTCTGAGGGTCCTTTCCAACTCAAATGATTCTATGATTTTTATATTCCCTAACTAGTATTCTATTTGCAACAACAGTGTCATCCCACACTCTGCTACCTCAATTTTAGTACCTATATTAACATTAATAAAGTATACCAATGTTCTGTTTTAATTTGCAGGAATTTGTGCAAACTCAATACACTTCCATTGTAAATAATAATACTCAAGGAATTTCCATCAAATTAAGGGACAGTTGTCTGTATGTTAGCCACAGCATAAAACTCCACTTGGTTTACAGTCATAATCATCAAGAATGTTTCACTATTTCCCTGACATTAGTAGAGATCTTTTTCTCTGGAAGAAGTGATAAAATTGAGGGTGCAATTACATTGTCAGGAGACGCGGACAACATGGGTGCGTCCTGGAGTTTATCACTCCTTATCTTTGTGTGGCACATACCACAGAAAAAGACTTCACTTCTGACTAAGAAGGCTTGTTAAAAAATGACAATGTTGTCTGAAATATTAAAACCACAAGGTAACAGTTTTTGGCAGAGGAAATTGATTTAAAATATTACTGAACTATTATATCATTACAAATATTTGTACTTAAAGAATGAGCATCTAATTGGCTGTTTTCATATCACAGCTATTACAGTTACACCTGGTAGCTTTGAATGTCTTGAAAGAGTCTGAGATATGAGGTACATATATATGCCTATGTGTATATATATATATACACATATAAATGTAAAAATTCATAGATTACATTACCTTATTGAGTTCAT